GAGCAGCTCCTATGAAGTCCATGAATTTTGCTTTGGATTGTCCACAGTTAAAAAGCAGAAACTACTCTGGCAGCAGCAAGTCAGCAGACCAGACCTCACCTCCGTCACAGCATCATAAAACCACTTGCTCCGTGGGAAAACAGTAGTGGGAGAGTCTGTAAGAGGTCAAGATAACCCTCTTCTCTTCTGAAACTACTTCCGGAAGGTCTGACCTGGCATGTGAGTCTTCTATCCACAGATGTCTCTTTGCCATGCTGAGTCATGCACAAGAGTATTGAGTACAGAAGAAATCTGGCCTTTGACATGCATGCATAATAGCTTGTAGCTACAACAGAGCAGTTTTGAGTAACATCAACTAGTCTGGAACTATGGAAACAGTTGATGTTAAACATGAGTGTAAACTAAGTGCGGTGTATGAGAAGCCTTCACAGTTTCTGAATGAAGTCAGAGTATATTCTTCATATAATTTGCAAAAGTTAGCTTTTAGGCAATATATAATCATAACAAAAGGGATGTGAGAGTAGTGTTAGGTAATTATTTGGTGGCATAAATAACCAATGGACATATCTTAAAACTGCATGAGTTCATCAAATAACTTAAAGATACAATACAGCAGACTGAGAGGTTTTGAGACCTAAAACACTATCTCTACTGCATGACAACTTTGAAATCTGTCATTTGTCTTGCTTTTTCCATGCCAGAGAAGATGAATACAAACCCCAAGTGTTTACAACTTCACCTCAACTAAAAAGCATAATTGATATTACTTAAAAAAATATGCAAAAAAAGGTTTTGCCTCTTCTACCATGTCAGAATGTACTATTTCCTGTAACTATTTTAATGGCCTGTCTGTGCCTAAAGAATTAACCTTAAGGTATTTAGGTACCTTCACCTAATAGCAAACCAAGGCTGAGCTGGAATAGCTCCCTGAACTGTGAGCACAGTGCAACAGTTTGCATCTTTTAGGAGGAGTACATGGGATCACAGCCAAAATGCTCTGCAGATGACTCCCATGGTGCATGAGGAATGGGCTGGGAAGAGATCCAGCTTTCCAAAGGAAGGCTGATAAGTGTAGGGTCAGTTCTTGGCAGGTCAATGCATGATGGGGAGGAGTTCCAGGAGACAACTTGCCATGGCTCTTGTACAGCTTGCAGAACAAACACCAATTCCACTGAGCCTCAGAAAGGTCCATAAAAGGCCTTTTAACTGTCTCAGACCTGAACAAAATAAATTGGGCTGCTATCACCCTTCTCCACACTATCACCCTGATATCTCCTCAGTGGGGTAACTCCTCACATTCACTCTCAGTGTAAGTCAGCCAACGGTGCTGATTTCACGTGGTTTGTGATGTTTTGAGGCTCTCAGCAAGCCCAGCGAGCTTGATGCACTAAACACCATGTGCAAGCAACCTGATAACCAGCAAAACCAAAAGGAGAAATAAAAATACTAAATGGCTTAACTCAAGAGTTTAATTCCTCTACAAGTGGCTGTTGGTACAGGAATGCTATCAGACAGCTTGCTCGCTCAGGTAAATAGCCAGTTTTCATTGCAGCTGGATTTCACCTCCCCATGATCTGACTGCAGCACCACAGACTGCCACACTGCTGCGAGCCCACCTCCTGCTGTGACACCATGAGCAAACACTTGGCAGCTGAAGCCATGTGTGACTTCATGACTTTTTTCCTGAAGAACAATGCTGCTTAGTCCTGTCTGACACAGCGGAGCTGCCCCAACAACTCTCTTCTGCACAAGGCTGATGCGAAAAATCCACGGCCAACTTCCTGATTACACCAGCCCATTTCCAGAAATTCAGAGAAGAAATCACCGCTCCATGTGACTCAGGGAATCTTTACCCAAAATCTTCAGCATTTCAGTGCAAAGCAAGGCTTTTACAGTTGATTTCTGTGGGAGGAAAGTTACATCAGGGGTGAAGACACTGCTCAGAAAGCTCTCCACTGTCCCCTGGGAATTTCTAAGCTCACTTTTATATCTCTTGTATACAGAAATCAAGAGGCAAGTAGAACAAAAGTAAAAGCTCAGCTTGAAAGCATAAGAGTGAAATCCATTGCATTATTAAGCAAGCCTCCTCTTTCCTCAGGCCAAACTCATCCATTAACCTGAAGCAGCCTTCAGCTGAGACATGCTATTCATTCCAATGCTGTTTCCAACAGTGCTTTGCATTTTCATCTCTGTGGCACATCTGATACCATGAAACAGCAAACAGTTACGAGTCCATAATAAAAGGTTACTGCCCCACTCTCCAAATACTCCCCTGCTCAGTTGCTGACAACCTCTGTAGCTGAACAGGTCAATGTCTCATTACCACGTACAAAAGATCAAAAAAGGCAAACACTGAGAAACACAGATGTTTAAATTCTGAGAGCATTAGCAGAAAAAGAATCATATGAATCTTCGTTAAGAGAGAATAGTGGTGCTGTAGAGGAGTAAGGCAAGGCACACGAGAAAAACTCAGAGAAGATCATATAACATTCAATATTGTAAAAGATTTCTAAGAGGGAGAAAAGTCTTACTTCTATAGTCATATCTCACCACTGAGACGATGGGTTTCCTAGACAGCAAGCCCTTGTGGTGATCATGCTGTGAAAAACAAGCAAGGCCAATCTATGTGTAAGTTTCCAGTTTCTTCTGTGCCTGAAGGAGCAAATAGTGTTGAAGAAGGTTGGGGTTTTATTCGGTGTAGGAATCCAGCCTGTGAGGCAGCACTGGGAACAACACAAGAAAGCACCATTTGCAGATATTTATTTATTTTATTTGCTTTAATTACATCTTACCACTGAAGTCATATCAGGTGTAAATCACCTGAGAGATATTACACGAAGGAAAAAAAAGTGTAAGTCGTAGCAACCTTAGTAGACAAGCCAAAAGGTAAATGTCAATATTAATGGAAGAATGGTTATCAGTAGAGTGATACAATTAAGTCATCATAAGCTTGCTTGCACATTTGAGTGTAAAAGTTGTTACATATATATATGTGTGTGTGTGTGTGTAGGTTTTTAGTTATATGAAAATTTACCACAAGGAAATCTGGTTTTGTCAGCTGACGACAGTATCAAAGAAAGATAACTCCACAGACACCGTAACTGTGGTTTGTGTGTGTGTGTGTATTTCAAACAGATTACTTCAAAATAATTTGAGTTCTTCAAGCTGAAACAGCCACATGTACATTCACTTGGGGTAATAGATGTTTCCTGTTATCCACAACCAGGACATTTCCATGATATAGTTCCTGCAGGACAGAACCTGACCAGCTCCTCACCATACTGAACACATAAATAAACTCTGAGTGATTTCAGTCCCTTGTCATTCAAAAAACGAAAACAACAACAACAACAAAAAACAAAACAAAACAAAAAACCCTAAACCAACAAAAAACCTGAACCAAACCAAAAACCAAAAACAAGAACAAAAAAAAACCCTAATAAAAATATTTTCCCATCTGAACTCAGAAAGAAAGAAAATAAGATAAGAAATGAAAGCATATACAGACTACAGAATTTGAGGTTATTGATAAATAAATTCTTTTTCAGACCTTTGACATATTCATTTTTCTGGCAGCAACTCCTGGCATCTCTCAGATAAACCACCACCACCAAATCACTTGACAAAACACAGTATCAGCTCAGGACACCTACGAGATGAGCCTGCAAGTGCAGATTAAGCTTAAAATATTAGAAATTGAAACATTTATCAGTAAGGACATCTGTGGCCTGAGTTCACATGACATGCTCTAGTGGGAGCAGAAAACTCCACCTTGGTAGCTCACAACCAGTTTGGGAAAAACTCTACCTCTAGATTTTCTTTGCAGGCAGGTGCTACTCCTCTGGACCTGACAGCATCAACACCAGTGAACTGGTGAATGATGAGTCTGATCCCACCAACACAAGAAAAGAAGAAACAAACAAACAAAAAGCAAGAAATCTGAACTGAGGTGTGAAAGTGGGCATCCAGGAGCTTCCTTCTCTGCAGAGCCAGCTATCCCAAACCTGAAAGTGCAGGTGGAAGTCTTGGGATTTCCCAAGTTTAAAACAAGATCCCTTCCTCCTAATGTAAAAAAAAGGACCATCCCTGAAAATTCCTTCCTTTCTGAGCCGTGGGCCCAGGCTGTAAAGCACCTGTAGTCAAAAAATTTCACTTCTTTCTACGAAAGATACATGTGAGAACACTCCCAAAAAGAGCCGGTGTGAGCATGGGTGACTGATCCGTGCAGTGGAGGAAGGCCGGGAGGAGATAGGCAAGAATGATGTGCTGGGGGAAGAATGTAAGGAAAAACAAGAAACTGTCATAAAGGAAGAAGAAATTATCTCAGCACAAGGGGGACTGGATAGTAACCTTTGCCTTAGGAATACAGCTGCATCATTCAGTCACTGGATTGCATAAACAACCTTCCCTGAATATTTAGTCAGGAGTAATGTGTTTTCCTGAGCTAGCCAGACCAGCGTGGGAGGGTAGTCTGTACGTGACTCAGCCCAACAAAACGTCTAAAAACCAAACAACTCACAAAATCAGTTGGAAGAGAACAACTGGCTTGGTCTGGGTTTAACCTCCATATTCCTTCCCAGAAAGTAGGGGGGACACAGTGCCACCAAGGCAAGCATTTAGAAACCAGCACAGAACACTTGTATTGCAATTTTGCTGTGAATTGCAATTGGTCTATTTTTGCTTGTGCTGCAGTTTTGGTTTGCTGCTGTATTATTCCACTAAAACAAAGTCAGGGATGCATCTACAAGAACTTGGTTGGAGAATCCTGGACTGTGGCTGAGGGATGCAACATGAGTCCAAGACAAAAGAAGAAACGAATACTGTAGGCAAGAACTCCTCCTTGTTCTGAATTACCTGTCACTGAATTGAAGATTTCCCAGTAGGAAGTCACAACATCTTTCACAGCCTCAGATACTGAAGCACTGGTTCTTACACAGATGACTAGTACAGCCACACGCCCTGAATCTTTAACGGTCACATCCAGCGAAACCTGAAAGGAAATGAGGAGCCTGACTGATTTGCTCAAGTCCTTCATGAGTTCAAAACCAAAACAAAACAGGACAAACAAACGAACCCCACCCTAATGATTGGTCAGATGGTATTCTCCATACTCCTCCCCAACTAAGAGACCAGTAGAACCAATTAGGAGGCAGAGCACAATCACTTTGTTGTAGAGGTTGCAGGAATGTGTGAGCCCAGGCCTCACAACCTACTTTCCTTATACATTAGGATGAGACAGATACAGGAGAATCAAAAGATCATTTCACACAACGACAGGCTTGACACTCAATGCTACATGAACTAATAGTGGCAGGACTGTGGAAATACTTAATTATTGCAATAATGTAATTATGACAATGTAATGTAACTATTCTCAAGCGAGGTACTTGAACATTTCCTTCTCGTAACCTATTTAAATGCTTCTTTAATTTATGAGTATTTAAGATGACTTTCCTTTGCAACTGTTTCAAGTTATTCATCCCGGATTAAACATCAACTTTGCAACAATTTTGCCCACTTTTAAACTGTTTCAGCCTATGTAACACTATAATTGGGTCTGCTCTCCAATTTGCACAACAAAATGATTCAGTCCTATCAAAGATGTCTGTACAAAGATAAAATTTCCACTGAAAGCATTGAACAAACACAAAGGGAAATCTCTAAGAGAAACTACTCTCATACTTTTGAGTCATGTATCCTGTTTTTCTCTTTCTCATTTATAAACAAACCATTATCATGGCAAAGCATGGTAAATAACCTACTGTGCTTAAAACAGCAGGAGGTACATACCTGAACTTGCAGTCATCAACATGCTTCAGCAGACTGTGTTTTGGTTGTTAAAATTAGACCATAGCTCAAAACACCCCCTTCCACCCTGCCAAAGCCACCTGATGAAGGTGTAAGCTGACAGGAAACAGAGAAACTCAATAAGACTAAAACCTAAAGCAGGTCTCAGGAGAGAAAGAAAGGAAAAGGGCAACTAGGAATAACTGTCTGGGCCCAGAAAAGCATGTAACAGGAGAGATCTTCCGAAAAGTATTTAGAAACTGTGTTGGGTTTAGTTTTACCAAAGCAACTACTTTGCTTTCCTTCTTCCTAAGTTAAAGCTGGGATTTGCTTTGCACTTTCCTCAGCTTCAGAAGAACTCCTTCAGAACTCCCACAGGGTGCCCATAAAACATACCTCTAGGTTTGAACTGTCCCAGTTAGACAGGGAAATCACATACTTTGCAGAGGTATGAGGAGGTAAAAAAAGCAAACACTTCACATAGGTCAGATACCCCATCACAGCAAAACGGAAATTGGGGCAACAGGGGGAAGCCAAAACTTCTCTTTTTAGAACTTGCTCCAATTCCTGCCTGCTGAAGCATCAGCTCATTTCAAAACAAATCTCTCTTCCCATGATTTAAGGATGGAGCATTTTTGCCTACTGTGCTACTTTCTAACTTCAATGAATTGTTTGATTTATAAAATAGGCCTCAGTGAAATGCATTTAAACAAATTGTCAGCTACTTCATAGGAGCACAACTGAACAACCACATGCCATTCTACCATTCCCATCCCTGCTTTTTAACTCGCAATGACGTTTTTCCAGAGAAGCGTCTGAAATTTCTGCTACTGTGCAGGTACTAGTTGTGGCCAATGCAAACAGCAAGTGATGCAGCCCTCTTTTACAGATGATTGTGTAGATGTAACAAGTCCCACCCGAGAAAAGAAGAGGAAATTTTAACACATGCTCAGGGACGTGTCGTTGTCATTGTGCTTATTAGTCAGAATTCTTTTCCTAGCGGTAGCAGACATCCTTCATCATCTCTTTCTATACTGCTACCAAACAAGAGGCACTGTGGTATAGAGAGGATTAGGGTGCAGTGCATGAAAAGTCAACTGCTGAAAGACAATTAGTTGTTTCTGTGCCAGCCTTTCTTCCCTCAATTCAGAGCTCTGTGATACTGAGAGCCCTCATGGGTCTAGTGAAGTACACATCTCGTCCTAGCACGACTGCATCAGCAGTTAACATTAATTTGTTAACAAGTTAACAAGACTTTATATTAAGGGGAGGAAAAAAAAAGCTCCTGCAGGAGAAATCCAAGCCCATTGTCAGAATGGACTGCATCTCTCCTGAGAAAAATCCTCAGGTAATAGGAAAGCAAGCCAGCAACTGTGCAGCAGTCCCCTCTTCAACCTGGTACTTCTGAAAACCTCCAGGGGAGAAATAATCATCCCTCTCAATGGGAGAAACATTTACTTGAGTCAGCTATTAAACCAATTTCACCAACACAAAAAGCTTACACACACAAGAACTCCTCACATCAGCCACCTATCAGCACACCATAAATTTACCTTGCAGACTTAATTTTGGTGTGGTGCTTTCCTGGAAGGTTATGAAGCTAAAATATCTGAAGGAAGGGCCCAACAAGTACAGCAGCCAGAGCATAACAGGGCAGGGGCAAAAAGGGATCTTTGGCCAGAGTGGAAGGAAACAGCGCTGAACATTAGGAACACGAAGTCACCCTCATATTTTCAGAAGCAGCTGACATAAGGCAACAACTTAAGGCACCCAGAGGAGAGGATTTATTTCTCATTATTCCCCGCTCTTGGCCGTGTCATTCCTTCCTATCAGATGTGGTACTGCTGGTCCTCTGCCACGGGCCAAACCCGCTGCTTTAGTGAGCTGAAGTGCCCCACAGAAGAGTGCAATCAGCACCAGAGCTGGTGGGCACAAGAAGGGTGATAATGGGAGTACCCAGCTCGATGCTGGGGGGCAGAGGCCACAGGAGCGTGGCACTGCAGCAACCTCCACGCCTCAGGAGGTCACACTTGAAATCCCTGGAGAGGAAGAAGAGAGGGGAATTTTGCAGAGAAAACAGATGCAATCTGCTGTCTGGTCACACATGCCAACAGCATGGCAACAGTTTTTAAAACATCTTTTCCTTGTCGCTTTTGAAATTCAGCGATTTCAAGTTTATTTTAAGCGTAAAGTGTAACAGCAACAAGATTTTGGAACACTGTGAGAAAAACCCATCATCTTAAACCAGGAATTACTAGGGGGAAAAAAAAAAAGAAAAAAAGCGCAAAATGTCATGACAGTTTTGGCAAAATCCTGGGAAAAAGAGAAAAGAGAGTAATTAAAAATACCACACACCATTTGTGGTTTTTTTAATTTTTAATCAGGTGTAATAAATGTACACAAATGGAAGCATCAGCATTTTGTTCACTTTAATTGTAAGAAATGGTAGGGAAAATAGACACATGGCATGAGTGAGGTCAGAAGTATCAAGACTGGTTCGAAACATTTCAAAATGTCATGCTAACAAGATATTAAGGGAGGCTCTTAAAGCCATCATGAAGAAGGCTTGTTCAGCATCAGAGCTAGAATCCACACTGCACACAAGTTTGACGTAGACTGAGAAAAGCAGTCTTCCTCACGTCTAGTATATCCAGGAATTTCAGCTGTGAGGACTATAACAGGGTTAGCAAGATGCCTTTTTCTCTGATTTTGAATGAATTCATTGACTAAATACATTATTAGAAAGTAAGTGCAAACTGCTGCACCACTTTGTCATGCTAAGCTCTTTCTAGAAAGAGTCTTAATAAGGCTGAAGGAGAGGCAGCAGCATTTGAGATGTTGTAAACCAGTCTAGCACCAAGCAACTCCAAAGTCTAATTCCCTAATTGCCCTTTGGTGGATGCCTTTTGGGGAGTGAAAAAAACCCAAACAAACAAACAAACAACAAAACAACCAAAAAAAAAAAAATCAAAGTATACTGCAAAGAAAGTCACAAATAGCTGACTCCCTGGATAAGGAAAAAACCTTCACCTCCTGAAGCTACTCACGGTTCACATGTGACTTCAGTGCAACAACTTAAAATGAGGGCAACACCCTACCCATTACAGTGCTTATGGGAAGGTGACACTACAACATACTGGGGACTGTGCATTACCAGGGTACTTGTGCAAAGCAGTCTCCACGAACAGCACTTTGCCTTCCCGATCCTGCCAACAGTTCAGTACCACACATGTTCAGTTCTGCCCCACACTTCTCAAAAGCTGCTTCTACAGCTCTCCACCCTCAAAGCACACACGTGTTGAGCAGCTACTCCGAAAGACGAGGTTCATTTACATACCTCACCCAAAGGGATCCAGGAATTAGACTTTTCGCAGCGCTTCAAATGCATAGCAAACGGAGGTTGGAAGTTTTCCCAGACCAAAATGTGCATCTCACATCTATCTCTCTGCAGCACTCGTTAAAAAAGCTTGCAGATGTTGTTAGCTGGCTTAATTCTGCTCTTCCTAAAGATCAGTGAAAACTACTTACTGGGGGATCACCAAAGCCTATGTTAAATGCCTTGACAAAGCACCAGGTGTACAACCACCTCAACTTCACTCTCAGCCAGATTCAATATCCATTCCCTTTAAGCATAGGACAGACATTGTAAAAAAAAAAAAAATAAAAAAATTCTAGGTGTATTCAACCTTGCATCCTTTCCTATGGTAAAGCAATTCATATTTTGTAAATTCGCTCATATTCTAATTCTGAGATGTGTGCATCTTCAATGTATTAAAAGCGTATCAAACTGAAACGACAGTGAAGAAAAAATATTATCTCATTTGTATGACTGCTTATTTACTGTTTTAGAATTCTGGAGAGTCTTACATACAGAATTAGAAAGAATTTAGTTTTTAAACTAAATTTCTTGGCCTACCAAAGTGAAAACTGATGTTCATGACCTCTAGGCAGGTACTTCTACGACTTCAAAATAGTCATTAGGCAGAATCACATAGCCTTTTCCCGCCAGTATGTCCTTTTCCTTCTGAAACTGAACAATCTCCCTCAGTTTTTCAATCTGTCTCTCCTGACGCCGGCATCGCTGCTGCGCCGTCTTGAGCTTCTTCCGCAGCTTTTCAACTTGCTCCTCCAGCTGCTGAATTCTTTTCCGCTGATGGACCGTATCCTCCACGGTGTAGTTATGATCACAGAAAACGGCGAGATTGCTCGGGGTCTGGAGAGGAGGCATCAGCAATCCGATGCTGGGATCTACAAACCTGGCATCTATCTGGGACAGGTGAAAAGGAGTCGACGGGGGTGGTGGGAGCACTGGAGCTGCTGGTGGGGGCGGGGTGGCGGAGGTGGCGGTGGCGGCGGCAGAGGAGGAGGTGGCAGCGGATCTTCCGGCTGTTCTGCAAATTCCTCAGACTAGAAGGAACAAGGGGAAAACCAAAGCAAAAAAAGTCCATTTTCATGCTTAACGCTGTTTTACAACACAACCCCCCCACTATACAGCCCCGGAATAACATAAGCAACTAGGATTTAAATCAGTAAAATAAATTCCAGAGCCTACCTTTTTGAAACTGACAGAAAGCTCTGGGCCTGCTTTGTCTGGCTTCTCAACTGGAGAGATTTTTAACTAGCTTCATTTTAAGGGCTCTTTGAAACTCAAGCCATTGATGTCTCAGATAAATCAAAAACTGAATAATGTAGCAATTACTGTTACTTGAAGACTTAGGTCAAATAGTATTCACAATTAGCTAAGAAGCAAGACCTACACCTGCCCTCATATGTGGAAAAGCTGAGAATCACATATTTATAGAATGGTTTGGTTTGGAAGGGACCCTAAAGATCATTCGGTTTCAAGTCCCCTCTGCCATGGGCAGGGACACCTTCCACTAGACCAGGTTGCTCAAAGCCACATCCTACCTGGCCTTGGATACTTCCAGAGATGGGGCACCCACAGGTCCTCTGCAAACTTGCTCCTCACCATCTTCACAACAGAAATTTTTCACCTAATATCTGATCTAAACCTGCCCTCTTTCAGTATAATGCCATTCCCCCTTGGCCTGTCACTACATGCCCTTGTAGAAAGTCCATTTTCAGCCTTTTTGTAGGCCCTCTTTAGGTCCTGCAACATTGCTGTGAGGTCTAATTCTTCAGGATGAGCAGTCTCAACTTTCTCAGCCTGTCTTTGTAGGAGAGGTGCTCCATCCCTCTGACCATCTCTGTGGCCTCCTCTGGACTCACTCTAACAGGTCCATGTTCTTCTTATGTTGCAGGGACCCCGAGCTGGATGCAGTGCTGCAGGTGGAGTCTCACCAGAGCAGAGCAGAGGGGCAGAATCCCCTCCCTTGCCCTGCTGGCCACGCTGCTTTGGGTGCAGCCCAGGATGCGGCTGCCCCTGTGGACTGTGAGCACACACTGCCCAGTCATGTTGAGAAACAGGACTGCAAGGCTGGCAGGTGGGATGGAGAAGGGAGAAGCACAGTTCTCCCTTTCTGCAGCAGCAAAATATCAATTGGCTCAACTCCGCCGCAGCTTTTTTTGCAGGTAAAACTGCAGCTTTTATTACATTTCTCTTGATAGGTTCACTTGTACAGTTCAGGACAACACAGATCCCCCACCACTTGAGTTTAGGCCAGAGCAGAGAATCAGATTTTTCCTTCCCCAGAGGAACGTAGTATAATTCAGAAATGCTTCTGTGCTCATGATGATTAAAAAAGCACTGTTGAAACAAAAGAGCTTGCATATTGCCACTTAAAAAGAAAGCTTAAGACATTCTCAGTGAAAAAGGCACTGAAACAATTTTCTACCTGTCCAGCTGTTGCCAATATTATTATTATTACCCAGAAAAGCTTAAGGACAGGGAAAACGTTGATTTTAAAAAGAGTCAATAATCCTCACAATCTAAATATCAAGCTCACCAGATCTGAAGGTCATGTCATTAACTTCCTTGACTTCACACGCCAATGGGGCAATATTTTGACATTTGGGGGTCTACTCATCCCTCATAAAAACTACAACGCCTGGCAGACAGCAACTGAAAAGGCAGTTTGGTGATTGGTTTTGAAGGGAAGTTTCACATGCACCCAAATATAACTGATCACACAAAAGCATAAAACCAGACCGCTACCCGTCTTATTTCTCAGCTATAAGCAACTGCTGCTGTTATCCTACCTAACTCACTCATGAACATTCCAAAGAGATTGACCCTATCAGCTGTCTCTATCATGTTTTTCTACTTAAAAAAAAAAAAAAAAAAAACAAACCACAAAGTGAAGCTGTTACTGGCAAAGAGAAATTCATTCTTGATGGAAACAAAAGCAAAAATCAGATCACTGCTGCACTGCTGAAGTCACGCAGAGACTTTTATTCGCAGCTACCGAGCACATGCTACCTCTATAAACGTGTTAATATTGTCAAAATGTACCACAGAGAACAGCTGGTATCCCTGAGACATCAGGGAATTCTAATTACTTCTTATAGCAAATAAATGGTTTTACTAAGACACAAAGAGAAAGGAAGTATACCAAACTACATAGCGCAAAAGATATAAACCTGTACTTCAAAATCAATGTGGATTCAATTCCAAAACAACCGCTACTGTTTTTTGTTCCTACACTGTTACTTGAAGATATGTGGCAGCTTATTTAAAGTCCCATGAGACAAATATGAATAGGACGAAATCCCTCATAACTAAAAGGCACATCACTGTGTTTTTGGAGACCCAGGCATGACAATGAAATTGGGAACATGGCTCACTACTAATCCTCCTGCACCAACTGCACTTTTGTAGATTACCCTGTACACCCACTCAGCTTTCAGACTGTGAAAAAATTTGAAACTATTTTACACACAATGAACAAAGTGTGTTTATAACAGATAAGCAGGGAGGTGTAATCAAACAAAAAAACACAGGCAGATTTACCTGTAAATTGCCTGTTTCCTTATATACATTTTGTTTATATTCTCTTAGCTGTTATGAGCTACTTTTCATTTTTCAAACACATTGCCTTTTTATTTCTGCATCAATACAACCTTGTACATGAGAGATAAGTCTGAGTTCTCTGTGCACTTCATCTCATCACATTCTGTTGCTCCCTAGATCTATTGTATTTACCATTCTCTTCTTTGTCACTTCCACAGCGGTGGAGTGACGAGATATCAAATATTTTATATCCTTTATAGGAGTTAAGAGTCAATCTTTCTCATCTTTGTCTTGCAGCTATCAAGAAGGAAGAACTCATAACTGACTTGCACCTCATGGTAAACTGCTTTAGTGGCGCAGTGAAGGGAAGAACACTTCCCACAGGAGATTCTACCATCAGAAGTCAGGGACCACCCCGGCTTTTGACCACAAGGTTAAGGCAAGACAGAGGTAGTTTCAGGACAGACAGATGGTAGACGCAGGTAAGGTTCTGCCCCTCTGTTTATACCTCACTTTAACGCTACAAATCGAGAGGACAGAGCCCTTTTGAGGGGACGGTTAACTTTGGTAATTAACACCGTCTCTTCAACACTAGCAGTAGCCATCAGCCAAGGTGTGACATTTGCGAGCACCACTGAAGGCTCTCTCTGACCCCAAATACACCAGAAATACTGCTGAACAACCTAACTACAGGGCAATATCCTCCTACTTTGCTGCCATTCCACGTGATTCAGCATCCGTGTGCTGAACGGACTCAGGAGCTGCTCAGAGCTGCCTGTACAGCCTCTCTGCGCTCCGTAGCCTGGGACAGCCCACACCTCTGCTCTTGTCAGCGCCAATGGGAACAGCTGCTGGTTAAGTTTCGGCCACCACAGCCCTCCTGGTGTCGTTCACAGGCTCAGCATCCTTCCCAGACCGCATCCTCTGCCCTCCTGCTGCCCTGCCGCGCTGCCAAAAACCCACGCTGCGGCACCTGCGGCCACGGGCGCCTCGGGTTTACCTTTTCACCGGGTTCGGTGTAACAGAATATCGTGGGCACCGCATTCTCCTTTAGGAGCTTGTTATTGCATTCCCTCTTAAAGCAGTCGGGGGTGAAGTGTTCTGAGCAGATGCTGCTGTACTTGGTCGGCTTGAAGTTTTTCCTCTTGACGGCGGCTTCCCACTTCTTGCAAAGATCGGGTCTCGTGAGAGGAAACCTGAAAGCAAAGAGGCACTTTCAGCCTTTTCTCGGGAGCTTCGTCAGGCGAGGGGGGGGTCACGGCCAGAGCCGAACCCGGGGAGGGGGGTCCCGACCCTCTCCGAAACTGGCGGCTCAGAGGGTCCCGTCCCTCGGCTTTCCCCAGGGAGACCCCCCCTCGGGAGGAGCGGGCGAGGCTCCCCTCACCTCAGCGGCCGCGGACGGACGGACGGACCCGCCTGTCTGTCTATCTGTCCGTCCGTCCGTCCGTCCGTCCGTTCGCCGACTCGAGCGCGCTCCCGCCCCTCGCCGCGCGCGCCCCGCGCCGGCCCCGCCCCCGCCCCCGGCGCGCCCCGCCCCGCCCCGCCCCGCCCGCGCGCGCTCACTCACTTGTGGAAGGAGATGGGCTTCTCTTTGTCGTATCGGTTCCGGCAGCGGTAGGCGGAACACGACTGCACCATCCCGCCCGGCCCCGCGGCCTCGGCGGGCGCGGGCGAGCCGGCGAGGGCGCCGCGGCCTCAGCGGCGGGCGCGCATCGCTCCTGCCGCCCCCCGCGGGCCCCCCGCGCCGCGACCCTCCGGACGGGGACGGCAACGGGACGCGCGGCCTCTCCCAACTCCAAGATGGCGGCTCCGGCTTCAACGCAGACTCTCGCGGTAGCTGCGCGCGGCGCGCTCCGCCCATTAGGAGAGTCGGCGCTCGGGGAGGGGGCGGGGTTTATCCCCTCGGGCCATCCAATCGGGGCGCGTTCTGCCCCGGCTCCGCCCCCTGCGCGCGGCTGTGCCCCTCCCTCCCCCCGCACATCTGGGCAGGGCCGCCTCCCTCCCCCTCCACATCTGGACGGTGCCGCTCGGCCCCGCCCCGCACCCACGTCTGGGCAGGGCCTCCCCCCTTCACATCTGGGCAGGGCCGCCCAGCCCCCCCCCCCGCATCCACATCTGGCCAGGGCGACCCGCCTTTTCTCCCCCATCCACATCTGGGCAGGGCTGCGCGCCTGCCCTCTCGCCCTGCCGGGTACAAGCCCGGGCCGAGGCCCCGCAGAGGGGGGAGGGAGACCCGCCGGCGGGACAGGGATGCGGGCGCAGCGCGGCAGGAAGAAGTTGGCGCTATGAGCCCCGCGGGAGGTTCTGACTGCCTTCGGGAAAACAAAAACCCACCAAACAAACAAAAAAAACACACAAACAAACAAAAACATAAAGCAACAAACAAAATGAATAAAAAAAACCGGAGGCAGGAAGAGAGCAAAAGAAAACAACACAAAGACCACATAACACATAGTTGCATTAAGGATGTGTAGAACAGTTCTGTGTCACTCACCTAAACTTGTTTTGCAGGTGTATCTAGCAAACACTGTATAGAGATCTCAATAAATTGAACTGTTGTTACAAATAAGTACATTTCAAGCAGCTTCAACATGTTATCATTCTGTAGTCTCACTTTCCAACTCTGCATTAGATCAGGGACCAAAACCATACTACGTAAGTGACAGGGAGTTTTTGTTCAGAACTGACAAAGGAACCTCCGTTTAGTGTCACCCAAGTATGTGTCACATCTTATCTGGAAATTCTCTGACAATGACCCCAGGCCCAAGTGAATGTCCACAGCTTTTTATCTGACGCCACCCAGGTCATCATTTTCTCCTCAGCCTACTTTCCCCCTCTGCACTTGCTCTGTAAGGAAAAGAAGAGAAGGTGTACTGGCTTGAGCTTGAAGGCTGTGGCTTGTCTGCCTCTTTGCCTGGCTGAGGGAAGGCACCAGTCGCTGCCATTTGCTCACCCAGGAATAGGACAGCAAAGCTGGTAGAGCAAGCAGCCTCAGTAATACTTCCACAAAGCCACTCACATTAGCTGTTTTCAGCACTCAGTGCTAGCTGAGCACTGCTAGCTCCACTCCTCTGCTGCTGGGTCAGCCAAGAGACAAGGAAACAAAAACAAGCTCTTTCTAGCACCACCTTCCTCACCAAGAAAAACATGCTTACGTCTCCCCATCCATGCAAATGCCTCTGTTTCTGGCCTTTGCCTGATGGCTTTCTTCTCCCTGGAGTCCTGCTGCTGCCAGTTTTCTGGGCAGTGACTCTGCCACAGCCTCCTGGACCAGCAGAGCTGGGCTTTGTAAAGCTCATTTTGCCCGAGGCAAGATGAGCTTGGGGTGGCCAAAGCCAATGCCCAGTTTCACCAACCTGGGCAGGGTCCTGCAGCAGGGCAGGGTCCTGCAGCAGGGCAGGGCAGGGCAGACACCAGTGACTGGGCCCACGGACGCACCCAGACAAGGCGACGTGATGAACCCTGTATACGAGGTCCACTATCGCTATGAGGCAGTTCAGGCAGGAGCAGCAGGAGATGGTGCCAGGAACAGAACTGGAAACACAGGTCCAAGGTTCAACCAGGAGATGGGGCTGGAGAGAGGAACTCCTGTGACATAACTGGGCAGGGACTGGAGGTGCTGGACTGAGATGAAATGGAGCTCCTGCCCCCTGGGCAGGGTGTGTAACTGGGGCCCCCAAAGTACTTGAGTAAAGGTCATCAAGGCCTTGGTTGGCTCACCTACACTCCAGTTCTCCTATGGATATCAAGTGGGATTCTGAGGCAAAGTCCTTCCAGACTTGACAGCAATGTGTCTGCCTTCTGCCCCACTTTTGGAGCCAGCCTGGGCACAGTGGAGGCACGGTGTGGCCATGCAGGCCATGGGGCTAACAGCAGAGCTCAGGAGCTTCACTAGATCCTGGGGGAAGAGGCACTTACACAACATGTAGGGAGGAAATGCCTGGAGAGAAAATATGAGTAGATTGCAGAAGAGTGATGCCTAACTGAGGCGATGCTGGGGGTCCCACCAGAGATGAGGAGTTCTGGTGTAGATGAGCCACCGAGGCCCTCAGTCAGCAAGCTGATCTTGAAGACTTAAATGAGAGCTTTCAATAGCTCTGTGAGAATCACTTTGGTATCCTGAAGCAAAAGGGATTTCTAAAAGACTGGGTGCAAGAAGAAATTTCCTCATCCCATAAGAATTTCAGGGACTTGGAAAGGGGCAGAGGCAATTGTCTCGAGTAGAGATAATAAATACCACCTCAAAACTGAAAACGTTTTTTTTACATTTCATTGAGGTTGCAAATGTTGGAAACGTGTCTAGGCTGTTTCAAACCCTTTCTCTTAACTAATTTTTTCAGAGGAAAACTCCATAAAATCCATCCTCTTCCGCCAAGGGACTTTTGGTTTGACAAGTCGGCATGCTTCCTGACGGCCAAGTGTTTGCCCGGCGGACTCCGCCGCTTGCGCTTGCGTTTGCGTTGTCGGGAATCGTTAACCCCCGACACCTGCACTACCCCGTGCCCACCCATCACAGTCCCAGCTCACGAGCACCTGCCCACGACCGCGGCCACGCGTGGCCCTTGCTCGCTCTCCTCCCTCAGGATCCGCGCCCCGGCTGGAGCGATGCCCCCGAGAAACCCCTCTGCCCGCACGAAGGCCCCGGCGGCGCCTCCCCTCCCGCACCGCAGCGGCGGGGCGAGTCTCCGAGGGGGAGGAGCGGCGCGGGCTCCCCGCGGACACCCCACCGGGAAGGCGTTCCGCGCAAGCCCGGCGGGCGGGGGAAGGAGCAAGGGGGGTACCGGCGGAGGCAGCAGGAGGCGGCGACGGGGCGGGCAGCGGACCCGGGGCGTGGCGCGGTCCGGCGGCGCCGGGAGGCGGCTCAGTCCCCGCTGCCAGCCGAGGGCGGCCGGCCCCGCGGAGCAGCCGCCCAGCCCGGCCCGCCCCGCGCCGAAGCCGCCGGCCGGCGAGGGCGGCAGCATGAGCGGCGGGCGTAGCGGGCGATCCGCCGTGAAGATGGAGGCGCCGTTTTACCCCGAGGAAGGACTGGAGCTGCTGCCCGACTTCGTGCCGCTGCCGGGTTTCGGTACCGCCGGCGGACCCGGAGCCGATGCGGCGGGGCAGAAGCTGCTGCTGGGCGCCGGGAAGAAGCGAGACCTGTCGGCCGCCGCCCCCGCGCCGCTCCCGGGGCCCTTCACCCTTCGCCCGCCCGCCGGCGGCCGCGGCAGCGCGGCCGCTCTGCGCCTGCTGCCACCGCCGCCCGCCGCCGCCCCGCCGCCCACCGCGGGCTCCGCCGAGCCGGGCAGCGGCGGCGGGGCGGCGGCGGTGGCCCGCGGCGGCCCGGAGGCCGCGCTGGGGTCTGCTGCGGAGCTGCCACTGCTGAAGCTGCCGCCGGCCGCCGACCTGGAGCAGCTGCTGATCCAGGGGGGCGCGGGGCTGGGCGCGGGCAGCCCGGGGCCAGCGGCGCCCGGGGCTGGGAGCGGCGGGGCGGCGGCGGCGGGGCCGTTCCTCTACCGGCAGCCGGTGACGCAGGAGCAGGAGGGTTTCGCCGACGGCTTCGTCAAGGCCCTGGCCGACCTGCACAAGCAGAACCAGCTCCTGGCGGCGCCGCCGCCGCCGCTCTCCGCGCCGGGACCCTGCTGCACCGCCCCGCCCGGGGCCGCCGGGAGCCCCTGCCGCTGCCGCCGCCGACCCTCCGGCCGTCTACACCAACTTGAGCGGCTTCAACCCCGCGGGGCCGCTGAGCCCCTCGGGCAGCGCCTACTCCGCCGCCTCCGCCCCGCCGCCGCCGCCGCCGGGCCTGGCCTTCGGCGCGGCGGGTCTGGGGAGCGGGCGGCTGCCGCCGGCGCGGTCCCTGGAGGAGCCTCAGACGGTGCCCGAGGTGCCGCCGTCGGCGGGCGGGGAGGGCGGTAGCAGCGCGCCGACGCCGCCGTCGCTGTCGCCGCTGGACGCGGAGAGCCAGGAGCGGCTGAAGGCAGAGCGCAAGCGGCTGCGGAACCGCATCGCCGCCTCCAAGTGCCGCCGGCGGAAGCTGGAGCGCATCGCCCGGCTGGAGGAGAAGGTGAAGGCGCTCAAGGGGCAGAACGCCGAGCTGGCCGCCACCGCCAACCTGCTCCGCGCCCAGGTCACCCAGCTGCAGGGCCGCGTCCGCAGCCACCTCTCCTCGGGCTGCCACATCAACGCCGCCGGGCATCCTCCTCCCCACGCCGCCGCCCAGCCCAGGGAGGCTCCCCCCGAGGCTGCCGCCGCCGCCGCGCCGGAGACCAGCGCCTGCTGAGGAGGGACACCCCGCCGGCCCCGGCCCCGTCCCGCCCGGGGGGCTCCGCGGGGCCAAGGTGCGCGCCCGCCGCCGCCCTTCTGCTATTATTATTTTTAATATTATTATTAATTATTATTATTTATTTTCGCCCGGAGAAGGCGTTTGTTGCGGGAGCCGGGTGTTGCTAAGCGTTTCCCGAGATCTGTCGATGTCGCGTTCAGCAGCGAAGGGTCTCCGTGGGTGGTTATGGGGCAGGTGGTTATTTTTCAGTGAAGTACTTGAGGTTTGTAGAGATTTCGGAAAATAAGAAAATTACTGTTTACAGAAAGATTCAACTTTATTTTCATGGGGGATATAAAACGTGTGTTTCCTAATACACCTTACTGAACTGTATAGCAATGGATAAGCTTTTCAAACTTAAAAAAAAAAAAAATAGCCAGAATCATACCTTTTGAAAAGATGTGCGTGTGTATATATATATTTAAAACATAATATGGCTATGTATATTTTCTTGGTATTGATAAAGAACTTTTTTTAAAATACTGTCTTTCTCTAGAGCTTTAATTTGCCATTGAGAGTTAAGACAGCTGTGTGGGTGCTCTTACACTTACATGGCTTTGATTTTAAAATCGAACCCTGGAGGGAAATGATTTTTGTTGTAAATCTTGAGCAGGATGAAATGCATTGCTGACTCAGTCATATGAAAATACTTTTCTAAACTGTACGCTCCATATTTCTTGTGCCAGTGCAAACTTGGGGCATTGATAGTTATTTATTGAAACTTGAACACTTTTGGACGTTGCCTAGACCTTATTTTTCTAGATAACACGTTAGTAGAGAAAATGGTTACTTTGGCAAAAAGAGCTTTACTTTTTTTTTCCTTCACTGTGTACATTCCAGTAGTGTTTGCTCTTTAATCAGTATAGTAACCATTCAGTGCTATACAGAAAAGGGCTCAGGTTTGGGGTGGGTTAGCTGTAAAGATGATAATTCCATTGTATTCTGTTTGAATAAATCACAGAAATATTATGGAGAAGTAGATTTATTTTTCAGTAGAAATCTGTGTATCTTGCTTCTTGGTCTACTTTGTTCTGAAGAAACTTTCTGCAATACTCTAGAGACAGAAGGAGCACTAGAATTTGAAGCGTTTTTTCTGGTTGGGAAGAATTGGTGTGATTTATTTCTTTGTCAAGAATTTACTAGTAGGAGAGTATAGCAATGGAACTGTTTCCTCTGATTAGACATAATCCTCAATAAGTTTTTGAAAGCTTTAGGTCCCTTGCTCGGTACCACTGCCTTCCTTGCTTCTGCTGCACCTTTGTATTTTGAGCATAGCCGCTACCGCAGCGCTGCCGAGCCCTGTACAGGCGTGGTGCAGGGGGAAGGGTCTGTCGGAGTGTGACGGTCACCCCACCAGAAGCCCCTCGGTGCAGAGGCCGCGGGCTGGCCCTGCCGCTGGGGGAGGGCAGGGCTTCTCCTGAGCAGATCCAGCTGCAGGCCCTCTCCCCTCGTCGAAACTGTGCTAAAAAACTCTCTGCTTTAACTCAGAGGCAAATCTTACGTGGGGATATGTGTCTGTGCCAGCTGGTGAAAATGGGGAATTGTGTGAGGAGCCAAGGGGGCATAGACATTTTTACGTGTACAGCAATTGCTCAGATCCGTTAAAGCCACTCAGGAGCTGGTAAACATCTCTTAACTTCTTCCGAAGGCTACACTTGATGATTTGGAATTCGAGAAGAACGGGATAGACTCACATTTTTTCATGCTTTTACTGGGGATACGTGAGTGCTATCTGTTCAGAAATTCGAGCTGCAGCGATCAAGTGTATGAGCTTTTCCTTTTAGTGCATACTCGTTCCTGGCACACGTGTGAAATGCCATGACAATGCATAGTAATTGTGTTATTGTAGCTGAGATGCTCTGAGGATATTTCTTTTCTTAATGCATATGCAAATTAGGTAGAAGCCATATTAATCATTGTATAACTGTTTAATCATGTCACCAGAGCCTTTTTCGGTGGTTGAAGTGATACCTTCTGCTGTTAGAGTTACTGAAGAGCAGATAAAACAATATTTTGATCTTAGCACAGGTTTAAAGACTTCATAAGGGCATTCTGAACCATACAGCATACAATCTGTAGCACTTCCCGTTACATAATAACTGGGTGAAAAATACAGTTTTTACTTTATGGTAAAGTAAAACCCTCCATCTGCAAAGATGCTGAAAGACTGGAGAAACTGAAAAAGATTTTTTTTTCCCCCAACCCTTACCATACTTGCCCTAGTGAAGGAGGTAATGCTGCCTGGGAGATGTGAGATGCTTTACTGTAGATGTAGCAAGGTGTGGATATTTTTTTTTTTAAGGAATCCTGGAAAAAATCATTAAAAATTGCATGGGTCATCCCCGCTCTTTTGGTCCTTGTAGATGAGTGCAGGGCAAGGTAAAGCTCTTGTGGTAGAACACAGGACAGTGATAAATGCGGCTATGCAGTACTTGTTCTGTACTTACTTTATCATTCCTGGTCATAATAAATTAGCAATATGCGAGGAGCAATGGGGGACGCATAAGGCAAAAGAAATCACTGCAGTTCCCAGTCATGGGCAGGGCTGTAATGGGCTATATTTTAGGAGGGTTATGAAGAGGTCCCCCTTCTCAGCATGATAGTGTTGAAGCTGGAAACCACCCCACATTACCTTGCTCCCGTTTGAACTTTCTGCAAGAGCAGTCTCACACCCAGTCTCCCTGATACCTCGTGTGGTAACTTCTTTGATAGCCTGCTCTGTGTTCTAGGTGACATCCGTTAGGTGATAGAAGTGCTGACAGGCCTGCCCTGTTCCCCTGATGGCTGATGAGAGGCTACTAGTGAGGCCTGCAGCTCCAGCTCCCTGACAGAGGCTACTGTTCTGGTAGTAGGGTTGCCAAAACTAAAAAAATGTGTTCTTTAGAGTGACAGGTTGCCTTCATAAATGCCTTCTTTTATCTGGTATTTAGGCTAAGGCAGAGGGTCTAACACTGACATGACAAAAATTTGAGAATAGTGTTGGGGTGGTTGGTTGTTTTTTCCTGCTGATTCTGCTAAAGGTTGCTTTATTTGCTTTATCTATAGCAGATACTTGAGTGGAAAGCCTAAGCACCTAACAGTTTAAACTAATATAAAAAGACTCAGGAGTGCTTACTTGCTGCAGCTATCATGCTTGATTGTTCTTGTCTTCTAAAATGTATCAGTGTTCCGACTGCTGGCTCTGCAGTGTTCCTAAATCTTTAAGTATGGCTTCTCTATTTTGTCTGCCTTTTTTCTTCCATTTGTGGCTAAATACCTCTTCCTTTTAGGTTTCGGTTTTCTGCCTAAAACTTGGGTCACTGTGAGATGCTGAAAGATAGATACCGGGTAAAAATGTTCCAGACTGTTTATATGATTTCCATCCATGTAGCTCCTTTGCTGTATCTACAAGCAGGTTGTGTGTGTGTCACTCTAAAAAAAAAAAAAAAAAAAGAAAAAAAAGCCACAAAAACGACAACAAGAAAAGACCAAAACAATCCTCACAAACAAACCCCCCCAAAAAACAAACAAAAAAAGAATTTAAAACCCCAAGCGAAACAGTTTATGTTCACTGTAATCTTAGCACTTTTTAACATTTTTCTTCACCCTTCAAAAGTGCCATGCTTTGTTGTATTTGCTCACACTACTCGCTAGTCCTTGCGAAGATTCTCGCTGCATGACTTGATTTGCAGGCTACCCTGATGCCCTTCTGATCTGGTTTTGCATTCCAGATGTGAACCCGTGACAAATAAACACCCCTCTTTGTTTCTTTGCCCCAGGTGTAATCTCTGCTCTGGAGATTCCGTGGTGTCTCTCTGTCTGTTTCGGGTGGTGGATGCTTTTTTCCGTGCACACCTCGCTTGCTGCTCAGCAGTGGCTTTCGAATGAGCTTGAAGCAGTGTTCTTGGTTTAGATGTGAAGTGCCTTCTTATTTAGGTGCTACAGCAAAATAGTTTGATTTATCTGTGACTTTCATTTATTTGAATTGTTATCAGATCTCTTCTGTCTTGGGGAGTAGGAGGAGGAATGCTTTTGGTAGGGGAAGTCTTCACCCCTTCCTTGGGCAGAGGGTGGGGCTCCCATCAGATATGCCCCCGCTTGCTGCGAGTGCAAGGAAAGTACTCTGCTAGGACTGCCTCAGATGATGGCATTGCTAAGTAACATGGGTGGTTTGGGCTGCAGCATAGAACAGCTAGTGAAGTCTGTCAGCATCACAGGGTCTCCAGGTAGGCCCGGGTGGTCAGTGAGTGGTTCTTACAGCTTTCACTGTGACTCCAGGTCAAGCCCCTTTGGCATGCTGAGAGAGCAATTCCCAAAACACAGGTACTTTGCACACTTTGAGGAGCATAGGTGTTTGGGGGTGGTAAGTCCTGAGCACGGAGAGGAGTGATTCTGGTGGTGATAGTGATGATTTCTGTCATAAGCCTTTGATGGTCTTCCAAGATCTAAATATCTCTACAGATTTGGACTCTTCACTGCATGTCAGTAGTCACTGCTGGCCTTACCACAGTTCTCCATTGTCTTGGTTTGTATTTATGTCTTTACTGAAGGAATAGTCATGAGGCATCCTTTGTTCATTTAAATATCTGATTGACTGTGTCTGTCTCACCTTTGACAAAGGAGTGATCTCCCCGGGTTAAGCCCTGAGGCATTCTGCTGTTTGCAGCTCTTAAAGTGGAATTTTATTTGGCTACTGATTTTTAATCAGTTACATAGCTCATTGATGCTTTCCAAAGTACTGTATGGCATTGTTTGATGAGGTCTGAAGCACAGATGTATGCTATGTCTGAATTACTAGTTGTGCCAAAAATAATGTCTTGGCTGCCATTACCAGAGTCTTGGCTATTTGAATCTAGCAGCTTCTTAGAGAAAAGTTTTCTATATCTGAGATTAATATGCAAGAAAAAAACAAACCCATCTAATTCTTCATTCCTCATAAGTCATTCTTCAACACATTTTATGTGTCCTGCTTCTGGTGTGCAAGTTAAAAAAGAAAAAGCGATGCATTACATTTTCTTTTATTCATACGTGCAGCTGTAGCTGCTGCTGGATAATTTTGCTCTTTCCTTACTTGATACTCCAAGTGTCTATGTTTAGCAAGTAGGCAAATTGGAGTATGACATATCTGTGTACATATTTGATTTTTGGAAAACCACTTCCATTTTCTCAGTGTTTTGTTTGAAGTTTTACTGTAAGAATGACTTCTGAAGAGTTCTCGGGTTTTTTTGACACTAATTGGTTGCTTCTTTTGATCAGTACTGTGTGCAGTGGCTGCACGTAGTCCAGCAGAGGCAGGTAGTAAGATCTGTCAGGAATTCACCTTTTTCAACATTTGGCAAGACCTGTATCAGCAGGAAAAGTCTTGGACAGAAAGCTTTCACAGTGCGTAGTAATCATGCAAAATGTTAACTGATCATTCTCATGCCTCAGTCACCTGCTGTGGGTTTGCATCAGGGTTTACTGTACCTGATGCAGTATGATAAATGTTCCCGTGACAAAGTGCAGACTCTAAAGTTTGTAGGAAACTTGTTAATCTTGCTGCACATGGTGCAGCTTTGCTGTGAAGGTGTTGATGAATTAAATCTGAATATATGGAGACTCAGGCCGTTATGGTACATTATGGGAGACAAGAGGTTGTAGTAATGCGTAATTACTCCGGTCCAGTGTTTCAAAGATCTGTCTCTTTTTATCCTATGAAGTGGCTTCCAGCTGTTTGTGCTGTGAAGCTTCTCTCCTCATAACGACTCAGTAACTTGGAGGCGGGACAGAAGCAACTTCTTCTGGAAGTAGTCATGTGTGACAAGCTAAATGTAGGTTTCTGAGAAGCACTGCAACAGTCAGTGCACAGTGGAGACCCTGCTGCTCCTGTCTGTGTGTTGCTAGAAGGGTCTAGAAATGTATACACATAATTCATGACAACAGCAACTTTCCGAGACACCATCCTGTTGCCTTGCTGCAGGCACTGATCCTTGCTGCTTGCTTAAGCCTGGAAACACTTTTTCCTAAGCTGCTGCATACCTGAAGGTTTGCTTTCGATATAGTCACAGACCGGATCTCTGCTTGGATGTTGAAACAGTTGGCTGCATGTGGGTCAGTCAGAATGCCTTGCTCTAGTTGCATCTGCAGGGCCCTGCTGAGGAAACAGTGGTGGGGAGAGGAAGGAAACCAGTCTAGAATCTGTGTCTTCACACCAATGCAACTTTTGTTTGAGTTGTCTTGACAGGAGTGTTATTCTGATGTAAAAACACTGAATCTTGGTCTTGTGTCTGCAGGGGACATGAGTTCTTGTGCTGGAGTTCTGCTTTGGGTGGTATCCTCTCAAGTCAGTGAGGACTAACTGAAGAAACAGCAAATCCAGCCTTTATGAACTAATTCTGCTGAAGCACACAGATACCTGCAAACACATATCAAGACGTTGTGCATGGACACCAGCATGCATAGAGAAGGGCATGGCCAGATAAAGGAACTGTGATTTTCCTTAGCTGCAGCAGCACACAATGGGGTTTTTAGTATTCTTTTGTTGTGGTCGAGTTTTTCCAGAAGAAAACTAAGCTGCATTTCTGTCTGTGATTACAAGGTGATTTTTTTTTTTTTTTTAGATTTCCAGTCATATTGGAGGACTGTCACATCTTGCAATGCTAAGTTAATGCAAAAAGATAATTTTAAAGTCACATTTAGCCTTAATGTTATCCGAAGTGCTGCAGTTTGTGTGTAGTAGTTTATTGTAAAGTGAAGGGATAGTTATTATGAATAATGTTTGTAAGGGAGTCAGCCTAAATAATTACCTACCTGCCATTTGCTTTTTTTGTGTGCTATCTAAAAGTGTGTACCCATGGTGTAGCTAGCTGTAAAATGAGCTTTGCTCTGAATTTCTAGTACTAGTAACAAACATGGTCTGCAATAGTTTAAGGAGTATATATTCTGGCTAAATGGCTTTTCTGAAAGAATTATAATTTCTGTAGGAATGCTTTGAAGTGATGGTTGGGTATGAAGCCTTGCTAACATGGAGATAATAGATATGACCAGTTCACTGTGCACTAATACACTGCTAGATTCTGATATTTAGCACACTGCTGATAAGATTTACTACTACTGTTACTTACTGGTTAAGACCTAGATATGGGTGGAATTGTAAGTCACCTAAGTAAGGTCCTTACAGTCTGGAGATCTGTGTCACTGGAGATCAGTAACAGACCCTCCATCCCATCCCCAGGGGAAAAAAAAAAAAAAAAAAGAATGTCTTTGGTTGCAGAATCTGTTTGTTTTGGTTTTGCAAGTTCGGTTACTTTTCTAGATGAAGTCCTATTTTACTCTTCTCTCAAAATCTATTTAAATAAATTTTAAAACTTTTCTGCTAAGTACCTTGAAGCATCTCTTGCAGCTGGTCCGTTACAATCAGTGGCAACTGTGCAATTGTGTTATTACTTCTGTGATAGATGGAGAAAGCTGAGGCTGTTAACAGTCAGGCATCTCTCTGTATCCTTGTTCTGAGACAGTGGACTGAACACACGAAAAATCATGACCAGTAACTTGAACTCTGAGGAGCTGTTTGGTATCATTTGCTTGCCCTCTTCAGAAAGCTTCCCGCTGCCCTGAGGGGTGTGTGTCCCTCCTGCCTCACATGGAAAATTGACCTTTAAAAATTAACAGTCTTAATAAGTAAATAAACAAATGAACAAATAAATAAGTCTTCTGGTACATGCTGAGCTGTTTGAAAGATAAAATACCGAGCTTGACAATCTTTTCTCACACCTCTCTTTCATAAATGTCCTGATTTGCTTGTAATGCAGGACACAAGCAATGGGGTGGCATAGGATAAAGTTAGTGCACTGTTTCAGAGACTGTGTTTAGGATACCCTCCTTCTTTTTCCCTAGTAACTGCTATGGAAAGATATCAGTAGAAGATACTGAAATAAAAATTGCCTTTCTTCACGAGTAGAGCCAGAGGCTGAACTCTTTTTGCAACTTTTACCATTCTGCCTTTTAATATTCTTCATGGGAGGGTGACAGAAGTAGTGAGAAAATGCTAACCAATAACTGGGAAGTTAAATATGCTTGTTATATATAATATGCCACATGAGCTATGGCCATAAGTAGCTAGGACACCTATGCACAGTCTACAGGATGACAACTGCAGAATAGAGAATTCCTAAAATGTGGCCTGAGTGTCATCACCAGTCCAAACCATTTTTCTGCCAGTTACTACAATGGTATTGTAGTTCCTTGTGATTTTTGAAAGTCTTTATGTACACCCTAGTGAAATCATAGCACAAGCTGATACGTCTGTCGTATTTTTGTGGTATGATACCACTTTCCCACCAGGCCAAAAGTGTCTAATAAAGTTTACTTCTTTATTCCTTTCCCTATTGATAATAGAGATGATAGTTGGAGGTATCAGCAATAGTAAGGGGAAAAAAAAAAAAGGATTCCAAGGAAGAATCTCTGAAGCAGTATATAATGATTGTATGTTTAAGTGGCAGATAGTTAAGATTGCTCTTCAGAATGCTTTTTAAGTTACTTGGTTTTGTTGTTAGTGCTTAAGTTACTTATCTTTGGAAACTGTGCCCCTCCCTGTTTGGCCTGGTGACTGGTGATTTCACACTTACCCTTATTTGTTTAAAGCCATAGCAACCACCATGCTGAAATGTCATCAAGTAAAGCCCAGGTCTGAATACTGACTGATGATGCAAAGCTCTGCTCTCTAATAAAATGCGGCCCGTGAAGGACGAGCTCCAAAAGGCAGCTACGCCCTGTCTTCAAGCATTTGCTCTAATTTCAAGGCTTTGCCATGTGGTGTTGCTCAACGTGTAGCAAAACAAGTTCTTGCAAGCCCCTTGAGCATTCCTCCGTATGTAACAGATTAGATATTCAGGCTTCGTTAACTCTCCCGGCCCCCACTACATCCTTCCTCCTCCCCACCTCCCTGAGAAAAAAAAAAAAAACAACAAACCAAAACAAAACAACAGGACCAAACTGAAACCAAAAAAACCCAAAAAAACAAAAAACCCCACACCGTAACAAACCTAAACCTAGAAGGAAAGCCCCAACGCAGGTAAATCTTGGAGAATTGTTTTGCTTTGTTGCAAAGTGCTGTTAATTACAGAGACGCTCAGCGCAGTTCTGACATCTGAGCCGTCAATCCAAACAGTGATTTTGCTTTGGTTGCACTTTGCTACTTTGTACAGTACAAAGGGAAGTGAATAAGTGTTGCAATATAGTATTGTGCAATTCCTGCCTTTTAAATAGAAAATGATCGGCGAGTCTGCATAGGCCTCTCACCCACCGAAATTTGGCCACTGATTTTCGCCACTCCCACTTTTTTTAGTCAGGAATGGGTTTACTGGCTTCCTAAGGTCACAAGGAGAGGAGGGTAGAGATGTTAAGAGCTTAGGCTCCCTGTGCAGGGACTTAGCAGGAAGGGCAGCTGGGTTTGTACTGCTGAATAAGTCTTTGGTGAAGTAGCTTTTCAGCTTTCTGTGTTTTTCCATCTGTGGACTACGACATTCTCCCAGGGCAGTTTTCTCTTTTCTGGAGTGGCTCGTCTAAAGCTGGCTTGTTGTTCCTGCAGTTTCTGCCTAGAGTGAAAAAAAATCTCTCTGAGGTTTAGGAGACTGCACATGTGCCCTTGCTGTGTGGTGTTAAAGATGGCATGTTGGTATGACTCAAAATAGAACCCCTGAAAAAGGAGGAGCTCTAGTTAGGTGCAAACTGAAGTCCGTCCTTCTCTGAGCAGTGTGTCTTTCCATCAGCTGAACAGACCAACTGACTCCCGACAGATAAAGGAGGAGGGAGCTCTTGGGCAATAGGACCCAGCTTTGAAAGCGCTCGGTGTTTTGTGCTTCTTGCTGAGCTTCCGTGATGCAAAAAACACTGAATGATCTGCAGTGCTATAATCGCAATACCTTGCAATATCGTGAGCTGGGGCAGCTGCTTGTGTCACGCAAGTTCTGTGGTCCTCACTGGGATTTGTGCCACGTGCTAATCAACCAGACCAAGTGATTTCCTGAAAAAGCAAAGAGGCCCCTCCCTGCTGCATCAGGGCCGAGCATCTCCAAGCTCTCTTTTTTGTCCAAAAGGAGAAGTGTGAGCAAACTGCCACTTCCTACAGCTCTTCTATCCAAACTGGTTCTCCACGGTGGCATGAAGGCGTGGCGCTGAAACTTTCTTCTTCAGGGTAGCTGTTCAAAACGAAAGGTGGAGGCAGAGCAGTTCAGATTTGGCTTTGCTCTTGCAGCAGCTTACTTGCAACTCGTTGGGGGGTGGGTGTCTGCCTGCATCTTTTCCTGGGCTTTTGTAAGTTGGGTTTATGAGCACCTTCTTATTCTGCCTTATTAAATTAGCTGGCACAGAGGAAGCCTCTGAGAAACCCTTTAAAAATCTCTGCTTTTGGAACAATGTTGTAAAATTACAGCATGTGAATAGATTTAAAACCACAAACAAACAAACAAACAAACAAACAAAAAAACCCCGAAACAGACAACAAAAGAAATAACTTCATTCAGATACAATAGATCTTTTTATACCTGATTAATTTTGGGAAGTCTTCAGACAGGTGTGCTACCAAGGACATTGCACACAGATGGAGGTGAGAGCGAAACAAAATTTAGTAGCTACTCATTTGCTGGATTTGGTCAGGAGAGATTTTCAAGAACACTTCTGAGACCATTTTTCCTGATGTGGTGGTTTATTTTTTTTTTTTAATGTAAACAAGCTACAGGGCTTAATAGTATACAACTGAGGATTATGTCCATAGTAATTTTTTTACATTACTTTTGCAAACTGTGTAGTATTATATTAAAAATACTTATTTCTGAGACAAAGTGGACAATATTAGTTGGCATCTTGCACTTGATTAAATGTAAAACTTTTTCTTAATTTAGTGATGTGCTTAGGAGAATACTGTAACTTACTGAATATACAACGGTGATAACTGTGTTTACAATAATTTTCAAATTCCTACTGTTCAGTGGTAGCCAACTTGTTTAAGAATTAAAAGCAAGACATACGGCAATTGGAATTCTTGGAAAAATTAACTCTGTGCTGCTACCACTAAATGCTGTGGGATGGATACCGTGGGTTTATATGGCAGGAGGATTGTATTCCAAGCCTCTGTCTTAAGTACTTATGACTAAAAGGCGACTTGCCTTGTGCTCATTTATGTATCCCTGTGTGTAGTACATCAGTTAGAAATCTGTTAATGATTGATTTGTAACATTAGAACCTTTATGGAGATCACAGTAGGGTTTCTGTTTTGTTTTCGTTTGTGAACAGACACTTAGACATTTTGGAATGTATAACATTGATCCTTGTGCTGGAATTGTTTACATGCAAAAGGTATTTATGATTTTTTGCAAACTGCAATGTGCAATTTTGTACATGTGTTTTAAACTAAAGAGTTTATAAGGAAGATATTGTATGTACAGTACTTGGACATGAGTATTATTTCTTTGATATAAATATCTAGAGGAAAATTAAAATTGCTTTATATTCATATTTTTGGCTGTGTTTTTTTTTATTTCAGCAAGGCATTTAAAGTTAGCTTAAGACATAGTTGACATTTTGTTGGAAAATTCAAGAATAATTTGTTGATCTGGGCTTTTAAAAATGTTTTAAAATCATGCTTAATGTGCTGCTTCTTTTGATTGTATCAACATTTTGAAGTGAAAGGAGGTAGAATTTCTTCTTGTAAAACTACTGATTTTTGGAGTAAATTCCCTATATGGTAGAACAGTTTCAAGTCAAAAAGCAAACTTTTAAAAAGAGCAAAAGTGGAGAAGAGACCGATATCATCACCTGCTCTGCTGATATCAGATTTCAGGCTCTTACTAAGAAAAGCTGACTGGAGTTGTCAGCCCTCTGGGACAGGACTCCAGTTACCCATGTCTTGACTTTTCTGTTTCAAAAGAAAGAAACCTTTCTGCCAGTTAAACCATTCTGACCCACATCTGGAGTAAATCTGTTGAAATAAGGCGATTCTTTTTCTTCCCCGTGATCACTCCTATGCACGTGGATACATCTTGACGTATTCCCGAAGGAGAGCTGCTCAGTAAACGTCACCACGTGCTAAAAACACTTCTGAAAGCTCCCCTGCCTTGGGAAGGCAGCCCTGCCTTCTGGATACGTCCTTCCAAAGAAGTGACGACGGGAAGGACTGAGTGCCAAGCCCCACCAAGAATGCTCCAAGGATGCCAGTTTCGAGTGAGAGCTGAGAAACTCGGCGGTGCCGGTGGTGTTGGCTACCCCAGCTCACGTGCCAGCACACAGCTGGACCCTGACTGTGTCATGGTGCATGGGTTCCAGATCTGGCACTGAAGACACAGTAAAGAGGATGTTCTGTTCTGGTTTAGGATAGGAATGCTAGGATTTCAGAAACATGACAAATTTGGGAGGGGGTGGGGGAAGGGAAGGGCAGGGAAGGAAGCCGTGAGCACACTGAAGTTCAGGCTCTGCTGTTGTATGTTGGCACTTAGGGTTTATGAACACATAAGCAGCTTGGTGTGTGATTGCTGTGACTTCTAAGTGTGAACTGTGCCTCCTCCAGTGCTCGGGGAGTTACTTAATGCTCTTTAATCTCTGTGTTTTGCATGGCTGCAGGCCATGCTTCACATGTGCTAGTCAGGCCATTCCTTGCAGATTTCCACTCTACCCAAGACAGATTTCTTCCTGGGAGGGTCTGTAGTAGCACTGTTGCAGTCATCTTAATGGTTTCCAAATTAATTGCAGACAACAAGACGTGGAGAGCCTTTAATGATTTGATAGATGTTTGGGGGTATTGTTGCTATTTTTTTATGTCAATTCAAACTTCAGAGCATAGTTCCATAGAAAAGTGTTTTGAAGCTGTGGTATAGGAACCAGTCTGCTTGTTCTCTTTAAGCTTTGAGTTCCCCCGGCTTTAAGTGCCTGAGAATGGTGCCTCCAGAAGTGCTCAACGAAGAGATAGTTGAGACTGATTATGCTTTGTTATCCACAGGGTGTGGAATAAAGTTTGGGTGCTTCCTTCTGGTTGAATAACTTGCAGGATCGTGTTCAGGGCTCTTTTCCTCTGAGGTGGTCCCTTTCTCCTCTGTCTCTGCCTCCAGGTTCCTTGCAAGAGTGAAACAGACGTGGCCCTTACAGAGCTTCCAAAACCACTGTCCTAATATAGAGCAGCAACTAAATAGCATAGTTTATTCCTGGGCACTCCACATATTCCAGACTGAGTGAGGCAGCCTATTGCAAAAGTGGTGCTTTTGCAGCCTACTATTTCTTTTCCTTCGGCCTGGGTGACTGAGGTTCTGGCATACGCCTTTCAGGTAGATCTGGCAATTGCATGAGTTGTCTGAAGTCAAGTAGCAGGTGACACATAAAAGCTGTGAACCACTCTCACTTGTCCTGATGTGGGCTGGTTGCTTTCTGTTTCATCTGCAGCTGGCTGCATTAAAGTAATTTTTGAGTTTTCCCTCTCTCTGATGTGAGTTAAGAATGGGGAAGATATGACATGCAAATTGCATTGGGTTTCCCCCCACCAACTGTAAATTAGGTCAGAAAGTATAAATGACAGGATTTTAGAACACTTGGGCAGATATATTTCACCATCTGAGCCTTTCTGCCGAATCTGAAATTCATGCCTTCATCATTCTTGCTACAGCCCTCAAATGTCAGTCCCAGGAAGACCCTGCTGCAGGGCAGGTGGAGGGTTAATGACTGTAAGTGAGGGATACATTGGTTGGATGATCCAGAGATGGGCTGGATGGGGGAGGAGGCTGTTTCCTACTGTCAGTCTGTGGTCTGGAAGTTGGGCAGATCTGAGGCTCGAGATTCCAAGTTGCACAGGCTAGTCACGGATCCCTGGATACGTGTCACGTCGTGTGATCTGAGCGCTTATGTGTAACTCATCATAATGGATGAGTTTTGGAGGGCATCTCAAAGCAAATTCTTCAGGTATAGAGTGACCCAGACCAGGAGAGGCAGGAGAAGACCAACAGGGCAGGCAGGGCACATCATTTTTCACCATCACCTTGCAGCTTTTAGTAATCTGCGGACACACCTGCAGTCAGCCTTTCTCTGAGCCATCCTGTTGAGTGAAAAGGACTCCTTCTCTGCTCTGACCTGGCAGCTCCTGTGCACCTCTAGCTGCAGAGTCACATAACCCACACACAGCAGAAGCTCTACACTAGATATGTCTGGGATTGATTGTCCATCATTTATTGGTTGTTTTTTGTTTCTTTGTTTTCTTTAATCAAGCAAGTTTTTTTCTTGGTAGAACAGGTCCAGTTTCCATAGGGAGCAGGATATCAAACCTATAGCCATGAGCTATGGGGCCCAACTGAAAGGAACATGGAAGAGGCGGTTAGCTGCAAGTATTGCACCTGCTTGCCAGCCTCAATGAGGGGCTTAAAGCAAATCTCACCCCTGAAGGGGATTTCCAGCTACCGATTTCCAGGGCCTGTGCCCTGCAGTGGAATAGCAATGCACCTGCCTTACCCTCTTCCTCATCAAACAGCTGGACCTCTGTGGAGGGTTCACCCTGACTGGATGCCAGGTGCCCACCAAAGTCACTTTATCACTTTACCCCACGGCTGGACAGGGGATAGGAAATACAACAAAAGCCTCAGGATTGGGATAATGACAGAGAGAGGTCACACAGCAATTACTATCATGGGCAAAACAGGCTTGACTTGGGAAAATTAGTTGTGCTTATAACCAGCCCAAATCTGAACAGGAAGATATGTAAAATAAATCCTATAAACACCTTCTTCCCACCCCTCCTTCCTTGCTGGGCTAAACTTTATTCCCAGTGCTCTACCTCCTCGCCCCAGGAGCACAGGGAGATGAGGTGGGTTATGGTCAGTTCATCACATGTTGCTTCTGGTGGTGTTTCTTCCTCAGGGAGAGGAGTCCTTCTGCTCCAGTGTGGATCCTCCACAGGGTCAAAAGTCTTGTCAGCAAACCTTCTCCAGCAGGGGCTGGAGGCTGTGGGCTCCTGTCCCCGTGTGTCAGCAGATCCTTGCTCCAGCGTGGGTTTCCCATGGGGTCACAGCCTCCTTTGGGCATCCACCTCTCTGCTGTGGGCTCCTCCATGAGCTACAGGGGAATCTCTACAACACCCATGGACCTCCATGGGCTGCAGGGGGACAGCCTGCTCCACCATGGTCTGCACCACGGGCTGCAGGGGCATCTGCTCCAGTGCCTAAAGCACCTGCTCCCCCTCCTTCTCCACTGTCAGTGGTGTCTGCAGAGTTGTTCCTCTCAAAATTCTCACTCCTCTCTTCTATGGCCACAATTACTTTTACAAAATAACCTTTTTTCCTCCCTAAATATGTCATCACAGAGCCATTACTACCACCTCTGGTGGCTCGGCCTTGGCCAGCGGTGGGTCCGTCCTGGAGCTGGCTGGGATTGGCTCTGTCAGATGTGGGGGAAGCTTCTGGCAGCTTCTCCCAGAAGCAACTCCTGTAGCCCCCCCCTCCCCACCATAATATTGCCACACAAAACAAACACAACCTCCTGATGTTCTGGGGTTCCTGGTGCTTATAGACAGTTGCAAAGAGAAACTCTCTGTCTTCCTCTCCACCCTGTGTTCCCATCCTTTCTCCGCGCCTGAGCTCTCCTTTGGTGCCTCCCACTCACGGCGTTTCTCTCACCCCAACGCTGCAAATCCATCTGCTCCCTCCGGCTGCAGCTGGCAGCCTCCCCAGCTCCCCTCCCTCTCTCCTTGCCTTCCTTGCCCAGGTGTGTGTAGGCACTTTTTGCTGTGCAGCAAACCAAATACACGCTGCTGGAGAGAGAGGGGCATACTGGCACAAGTGTTATCCTCCAGTTTCATCTGTCAGGGTGTAAAAGTGGACAATCTCAGTTCAGTGAACGAGTAAACTGATGGCCAGCTGCAGCTGTAGAGGGGAGGGAGCCTCTGCCTAACAGGTGAGTTTCGTGAGCCTGCAGGTTCAGCACAGCCTTGTTCTCCTATGCTGGGCAGGGCCAGAGTAAAGCCACAGAAAGAATGTGGGCTTTGCGGATTTGCCCCTCGGCTCCAGGGAGCTCTTGGATCTCACTTCTCTCTGGGTTTCATGTTCAGCAGGCTTAAATACGGGAGAAAACAGAGGAAAATCCCAGACAGAAAATTACACAAAATTGAGACTAATGTAAATACTCTGGGGTAAAAGACCAGCATGGGGAGACTTGTTGCTGTTCTTCAAAACACGCTTTAGAAAATCTGCAACTTGAAGGTAATTAGGAAGGCACATCGGAGGTGCCAGATTACCTCTGCTGTTTTGCCACAGGCCAAGGCTCTCCAACGTTTGCAGTTGAGATTAAATAAGAGTTGACTGGGAGGGAATGCATTCCAATATCTTTCTCTTATCACTGTAACCCTTTGAGAAGTGATGGAGATCAAAATCCAGATGCTAGCTAGCTGGGTTGATCTCAGGAGATTAACAACTCTCCCTCCTCACCTATAGTGTCTCTCTTTCATAGTGCAGCTATTTTTGGCTGGTGCTGGACAAAAAGCTTCCTTA